AATATGAAACCAAGGATACTGATATCTTGGCAGCATTCCGAGTAACTCCTCAACCAAGAGTGTGTATATATACAAATGCCCATAAAAAATAATCAATTCAATAATAGAGAATCTATCCACTTTATATAATAAAAACAAATCCCCATGCATAGACTATTTTGCTAAAGTGACACGAGTTAATGACATGTATCCTCGGTTGAACTTTTTGATGTGTACTTCCTTTTTTAAAAAAAATAACAACAATAAATATTTTCAGGAAAAAACTATTTAATATATGCAATTTATTTAGTGATCATGCTTATCAAATGAATCAATATATTTAAATGTATATATAGTATATCATCTACATATTTTTTTAACAGCTTTCAACCAAAATGAATGAATATGTTAACTAACTAGTTGCATTCGATTGATGTCTTAGTAGATTGAACTTTTATTACTTTTAAAAAATCCTATATGTAATATAAACTATGAACAACTAACTCTTAAAGAAAAGTTAATATGATCGTATCCATTTAATTAAAAAAAAAAAAGCAATTGACAATGAAATAAGATTTTAAAGTTGGGACTCTTGTTTAATTGGATTAGTTTGGAGAGAGAAAAATGAACATAACTCGAATTCAATTTTGTTCAGCGCAATTTAAAATTTGTTAGAATGCATTAATAATAATTTTAATATTAAAATTATTAAAAAAACATTTCTTACGTTTTTATTGTTATTTTTTCGGTCGTATTCTTCTTATCATTAAAAAAAAGTTGTATCTTGATTTTTCCTTATATTAAAATAACGAGACCAAAGATATGATGTGATCGATTTTCACCACAAACACACACACACACACACATATATATATATATATATATTTAATTTGATTACCGCACTATCTAATCTCTCGAACATGGGATTTGGCCGAAGAGATAAGTTACAATATTTTTCCATATATTCATTAAAATCTTATCAATAAATATATATATACACATTAGGGCTTTTGAAAAAATATCTAGATTTTATTTTGGCCGAATAAAAATACCAGATTCTCATTAATATCGATGAGAAGAACATCATTAATGGCGTCTTTCAATATATTTTTCTCATAATATATACTTTTATCGAATCATATCGTTGTCAAATATCATAATAGATTATTCACGAGCTCTTGTTTTCATTCAGATCGTTTTGAGTTTGTTTATTAATTTATTCGATTTATTGTGGGATTATGCATTCCAGCAAACAAGTCAAATAATATACAAAAGTTAATTCTTCAAGTCTAATAAAATTTATAACATTATTTACCTTATGCGGAGACAATCGAGCCGATAGAAATCTGACACGTACTTATTAATTAAATAATTAAATCTGTAATTTAATAAGAAATACTATTATCATTAGTCGAATAGATTTTGTTTCGAGCTTCGAGTTTATTTATTAATTTGAAGTCAAAACGGCAATGTCCCCGTCTTGATGCTACTGAATAATATATATTGAAACTGAATAATTTTTAATTAATACTAAAATTTAATCAATTCAAATATGCTGAAATTGAAATCCATGATAGGGAAATAATTTGATTACTTTGAAAAATCTTTGTCATACAATGAACCATCAAAGGCCATTTTTTTTAACTGTTGAAGTAAATTTGGAAGTGATAAAACTCGTCTCAAATGGATCGCATTAATCGACTTGGGACCATTCACTATGTATAATTAAAAATAGTTTTTAATTTATTTTTGCTAAATTTTAAGAAGTGAATGTGGAAATTATGGTTTCGTACATTTAAAAGAACAACAGTGACGTCATCTGGTATCAGCTTGACATATGAGCAGTGCAGATCCATGTTCGGTCTTTTTCTATTTTTGATCAAAGTTGTTGAAATATCAATTTTTCGTTTGGGATTATCATTTTCTTATTATTGTCAATCCCTTGTAACTTATAGCATCTTTCATATTTTTTTTCCTTTAAAAAAATCACGTTTTAATTTCTAATATTACTATGTTGAGAAAAAAAAAAGTAAATAATTTATGTTTTTCGAAGATTCGAGTTGTCTCCGCATGTGAAATTAATAATAATATAATTTGAAAATATTTAGGTTCAAAACGTGTTTTAATTGTTATTTAATTTTTATTAGCTGTTTTTTATGATAGATTATATAATACTTCGAAACGAACACTTATAACTCATGTTGCGAAAATGATTCCAATCATATTTAACATTTTGCAACGTTTTTCAATATGTAAAATTAAAATATGGTATAATATGTATAATCAAGCATTGCAATGAAGTTTCATCGAGTCAAAAAAGGGACTTGATCGACAATCCATTTTTACGAAAAAATATCTCAATGTTCCTCCTTTTTAAGCAATGTCACAATTTTGACATAACAAAGTGGAGAAGTAGAAACTTGTAGCCCCTTGTTTCATGATTTAATTAATGGTTGTCTTGTCTCTGTATTATTATTATTATTATTATTATTATTATTATTATTATTATTATTATTATTATTATTATTATTATTATTATTGGTGGTGGTGGACCTATGACCCATTATTTTGATTAAAAAACAATTTCTTTATAAATTTATAAATTTTAAATGAAAATTGTTAAAGGCCTCATAACAAGTTAAATACGCTCCTAAAAAATTATAATAAATTTATCATTAATTCCAATTATATTTTTTCTGGGTCGCTACTTCTTCTTCTTCTTCTTCTTATTATTATTGTTGTTGTTGTTGTTGTTGTTGTTGTTGTTGTTGTTGTTGTTGTTGTTGTTGTTGTTATTATTATTATTATTATTATTATTATTATTATTTGTATATTTACAAATATATACACGTGTTCATATATATATATATATATTGTGTATGACAATAATGACATTATTATGTCATGACAACAAAGAAGAAAGCGACTGGAAAGAACTCGATGTAAACATTCTGATTGCACTATATATTATCAAGTTTTCAATCATAATAGATTATATATAGTATTACTCAATTATTATATATATATATATATCCAAAGCAGTTATTAATAAAAAAATATATAATATGCCAAGGATTGTAGACTAGTGACACATATAATTCACGAGATACGGTCAAAGTCAACAGTAAAAAAAAAATCAGGCTAATCAGCCTTTTGAAAGTTTTACGTTACCTAATTTATTCAATTCAAATTTGGTTTACTTGGATTTTTTTTTCTTTCTTCCCCCTTTGACGGCTGTTTACTTGGAATGTTTTTTTACCAAGTTCTTCACAAAAAAATTACAAATTAGGGGGAAAATCACAAAATTATCATGATTGAAATGATAAGCGAAAATTTTCCATGAGTAATAAAACATTTTTTTTTTATAGTTTTAGCTGTTTGTCATACATAACTCTAGTTTAAGACAAACAGAAGTTTTTATTATAACCAATCAAAATAAATATGATTCATTGATAATCTAGATTCTCATGCCGTGCCAAATATTTTTGCACCAAAAAAGAAATCGAATAAATTTGTATGTGATTGACATAGAAAAAAATTCTGACCGAATATCTGTTTATATTCTAAATGTTATCGGTTAGAGTTGCATATCTATTTATTTTCCGACAGGTTGTTATTATTGCATTTACACAGCTGTTTTTTCTTTTTGTTATATTTGGTAACAAAAAATTGTTAGGGGAAATTAGAAAAATTACTTTGTTAAAGTATTGAAACATCAAGGAAACATGGAAATTTCTATCAGTATGACATCAATTGGATTCACAATCTCATTGCATTTGTTGTAAAAGATGTCACAATAAGAGGAAAAAATAGGGAAAAAAAAAGTCCCAATTTGGACAAACCATCTTACATACACTTTAGAGATACACATCATAAATTTCCATTTTTCAAAATTAAAAACAAAAATTGGAACTTTATATACACTTGGGATTCCATTTCATTTTTCTTTCCCCGTTTGGGATTTTCCTAACGAAAATCTTGATTTTTCGCTTTTTCCCTTACGTATTTTTTCTACATTTTCCTCACAAAAAAATAAAATGGAAATTATGAAATTGTCTTCTTTATCTTCGAGGTTGCAATCAGAGACGTTTAGTTAAAAATGTTCATTTTCTATATTGGGAAACCCTAAAGTTCAGGGGCATTCTAGTAATTCTACGCATCTATTTAGGGTTTTCCGGCCAATACGATGGGAAGCCCGTTCTGAGGAAGAGCGAAGGGACCGTACTGGATTCCGTTGCTAGGTCCCACAGTTGACCACCTGAAAAGACGAAATTATCCCTTTGTCAGATTTTTCTCATGTGGGAACATTTTCTATTTTGGGAAACTAATGACCATTACTGTATAATTTACCTTAAAAGAACATAAATTAAGGTCGTAAGAAAGTACACACACCTGTACTTAGTGGTGAGACGATGAATCAAGATAGATATCTCGAGTTTGGCTAATTCATTCCCTGGACATGAGTGGGTCCCATTGCCAAATGGCATAAAAGTATTGGGCTTTGGTGCCACCTGCAAAAATCAAAAATCAATTGAACTTTAATAAAATCATCCTAATTTTAAAAAAAAAAAGTACATTTTTTTCGTCTATAAACATAAAAAAAAGGATAGAATTATTACCTGAAATCTCGACGGATCGAATTTCTCAGGATCAGAAAAGATTTTGGAATTGTGGTGGATGTTTCTGAACAAGGGCAAGACTTTCCATCCTTTGGGAATCAAATAACCTGAATTTTTAATTCTTTTTTCATTATAAAATCCGAAAAATAAAAACAAGATCTACGTATATACGTACACATATACGTACATGCATACATGCGCATACATACCTTCATACTCAACGTCTTCAACAGCTTCTCTAAAGGTGAAAGACAAGATGGAAGCAACTCTCAGTGTCTCTTGGATAACCCTCGAAGTTATGGGCATCTTCTTCGTATCTGCCCAGGTCAGACCAATTTCCGATTTCTCCGTTTTGCCCTTAATTATCGCCATTTGCTCTTCCTGAAATTCCAATACCACCATCAGAACCGCCCCATATTTACCAGAATGCCACACGTACGGTCTGTATTGAGTTTCTAGTACTTACCGTGACAGCTTCTAGAACGGTGGGATTCTCCGCAAGGTACTTGAGGATCCACGTCAGCACGCTCGCCGTCGTGTCCCTTGCGGCGAAGATAACGCCGATGATGTTGTCGGCGATCTGCTCGTCGGTGAGCCCTTCGTTATCGCCCATGAACGATCCGAGCAAGTCGTTTCTCTGTACGGCGCCGTTTTGTCTCCTCTCGGACAGGGTTCTTGCCAGGATCTGAGCGAGCTCCTTCCTGAGAGCGTTCCCGGCAAATTCACCGGCATCGAATTGTAACCCTTCTCGAGAATGTAGTAGCATCGTTTCAGATCTTCCCGGTACAGTACCTCGTCCTTTCCGAAAATGGAGAGCAGGGCAACGTTGAACGTGTACTGATGAGAGAGAGACGGTTAGTAAGAAACAGAACATATCTGCAGAAAAGAAAAACAGGGGAGGGGACTTACGGTCTTCATTTCTTGGTAGGTGTTGATCATGGTTCCTTCCCAAGATTGGAGAGCGTCTTGAGCGATGGAATCGATGTTGGAGATCATGTGCTTGATAGATTCCGGCATGAAAGCTCGATGAACAAGCCTCCTGAGCTTTGTATGATAATCTCCCTGGTGGAAGAAGATGGCTTGTTTCCCCAACATCCTCTCTTTGCTCGCCGGAAAAGTCGGTTTGAACAGATGCGCCTTTGTCACCAGCACGAATTTCGCCGCCTCCGGGCTCGAAATCATCACACACGGACATCCCAAGATGTGGGTCTTGAATATCGATCCGTACCTATAACAAAGGAACAACCTTTTTCCGTATCAACACAAACATAATCCTCAAAAAGGGCGCGAATTCATGAGTCCGTGGTTGTTTTCAGACAGACCTCCTCTGTTTGGAGGCAAAGAACACATTAGGGTCTTGGGAATAGAGTTGGAAAGTCTCGCCGACGTACGGCCAACCCATTGTTCCCGGAGGGAGTGGGAGCTTCTGGGACAGTCGGCGGCGGCGGTCGACGGCGGAGGGCGAGAACCGGAAAAAACATAGGGAGAGAACCACCGCGAAGATGGGGAAACACAAAAGGGAGAAATCCATCGTTCCACTGCTGTTTTTTTTAACAGTTCGCAATTGGGAGCTTTTCTTTTGTATTTGATACAAAAAAAAAAACCAACTCTTCTCGAGCAGTGGGAAGAAGCTGAGCAACGAAGAACTTGTGAGTTTTTTTTGGTTGCTCTGTAATGGAGGAGAGAGCTTGTGAAGGAACAAGTGGAAGGATTGAGGCCTCTTTATAGGCTCTTCTCATAAAATAGGAGGGGAGAGAGAGAGAGAGAGAGAGAGAGAGAGAGAGAGAGAGAGAGAGAGAGAGAGAGAGAGAGAGAGAGCTCTTCTTCTGATACAGCTCATTCGAGAGAGAGAGAGAGAGAGCCTTCAAAACAGAACTACTGATACAGCTCATTTGGGGGAGAGAGAAGAAGAGCACGTGTCAAGGACCATGCAGAAAAAGAGCGTGTGAGATTTTGACCAAAAACCATGAGGGAGAGCTCCAAAAACAAGCAGAAAATAAATTAATAAAATACCAATATTCGAATTTATCATAATAAACATGTTTAATCAAAGCTGGGAGATATGAGGTGCCGATTTGGAACTTAAATTGATTTAATCGAGCCCTTTAAGATGATAACCATCATGTGTTATATGGACTGCCCCCTATTCTCTTTGGATATCTCTATATACATATATATGTTATATGTACCCAACTATCGATTTTAAGATTTTTTTTTGTTCTATTGTTATAGATCAAGACCTGAAGTTTTGAGGGCGCTTTTTACTTTATTGCATATTAACGATTGCTAAAAAAATTGACAAAATTTCAAAAAAAAAAAATTAAAGAGAAGAACATAAATTAAGGATTCAACAGAGTGCTTATTAATACATTGGGAACAGTGTATTCCCAAAACATACATGAAATTCACAGAAGGGAAGCCAGTTCTGTTCTTGCAACGACGATTATAGAGACGAGGGACTTTATATATGCACTATTTAGTACTGACCATTTCGGTTTTCCACTCGGTTATATTCGGATTCGGTTATTTTAGTTATAGAACAATTATAACCATACGATATTTATATTAATTTATTAAATTCGATTCAATCCGATTATTCGATTAATAGCCAAAGTGGCCATTTTACATAGAATCGTTAAATATATGAATGCATGCAATTTTGTATTTATACATCTAACAAGGCTGACTAATCACAAAACACTATTTTATCCCACGTTAAATTCGCGTCCACAAATCAAGGTAATATTATTTGATCATAATATATATATCCTCTGTGAAATAATCTACGCGTTCGGAATTTGAACTTAACCGGTCCATTAAAAAGAACGGCTTCATATTTATAATCCTATATATGCTATATATAGGTATATATATATATATATATATATATTTGTTAGTATAATATAAATCAGATTCACCATTTTATTAGTTTGTCGAAATGATTAAATACCAATTGACTTTGTGTCGGGAAGATCAACAAAGAGCGATATCATTTTCTTGGACCTAGCTAGACTTGTGTATTTATTTGTTATGTTGACTTCGTTTCGAATTCGGGAAAAGTCTAACTATTTGAAAACTTATTTTAATTTTTTTGTATAATTATGTTAACGTGTCGACCTAAAATATACATACATCGATGTATATAATTTTTTTAATATAATTTCCGATTGTGCTAAAACTCATCATTCCCATGTAACTATAACAACCGAATAAAATAATTTTATTTGCAATACATTGTTCATCAAGATGCGTATATCTTTTATGACTCGAATATATATATTTTTTTAGATATTGTATACATAAAATTTTCTCTAACCAAACCTACGGTAATACCACTCTTCGACAATTACCCATGCAAATCATTTACATCGTTAAGTCGTTCTCATCTAATGATAATTTGATAATAAAGCTAATATTTATATAAATATAATGTAAGGGTATATTTATCCATGTAAATAAAAAAAATGTAGAATCGACATCATTGAAAAATTGTTATATGTTTTGTGGGAAATACAATTCAAATTTTTTTATCGACGCAATTTTTTTCTTGGTTACACTTGGCTTAACAAGATTCGGTGTTCTTCAAATCGTTGATGAAAGATGGGACCTTTATCGTATTAAACTACACCAACAACCCACTCACACCTACTATATACATATACGATATAATAATCAAAATAAAATAAAATAAATTCTATATAGTTGTGAAAGAAGGATTCGAAATTTAATGTTACCCGGTCGAATTAATATGCATGGTTACGCGTTCGACGATCTCGTCTTGCTCGTAGTAATGGGAGGACAAATTCCAATCTCACGACCATATATACGACTACTATATTATATATCATATATAACATGACGTGCAATATCATGCCGGTGTTTTGGGTCGGGGACTATTCAAATTTCATATTCCTTTAGTGTGATTCAAATGATTTAACATGAAGATACAATCGATCGAATGGCAAAATATATTCGAAAAAATATTTCCATCTAATTTGGATTATTTTTAAATGGTTGTATATGTTCTCACGGCCGGAACAATGTTATCATTTATACGGGTAGTTATCTTATTATAAACTAAATTAAATCATTCATTTGCCCTACTTCGTTTAAAGGAACAAAATCATGCATGCAGGATTCGATGATACGTACGTAGATATCACGTAGCTTATACAAGACCTGAAAAATAGGGTAGATAATAATGTAAACTACAACATAAAGAGCTCAACGTTATTGATTATCTGCATGATTTCATTAATTTATTTTTACAACCTCTTTAGATAATCTATAAGAATCTTGGGCAATGGATTTTTCTTGTTTTTTTTATAAACAAATTATGTCATGTTTTACTCATATATATACCTATTCGATACAATTAAAAGGAATTATATATATACACACACATACACTTTTCTGGATTCTGCAAAACATATGGATTATGGACGATGGAAGTAACACGATGAATCTCATGCTTTAGTGCAAAATAATAATAATAATAATAATAATAGAACTAGGAATCCATGTAACCTAGCTAGTAATATTTACATTTACATAAACAATGTAATATTTACATTTATGCGAGGAAAACACAAATATCTAAAAGATGATTTTTATTCTACGGACGTTATTTCAAAACGTGGATGTCTCTATTTGTGTACCAGATATACAGAACCTTACTTTATACGGATTTACATTTGCAATCCCAATAAGGATATCTACACATATATCTTTTCGAAATTTAGAAAATAAATGTATCTCTTTTACATTAATAAATAACAGAAAAATAAGTATGGGGGGTAGACGACAAAGGCGGTATGGGCAGCCTAAAAAATAAGGGTACCAACACAAATAAAATTATATGTGTCCTAACATATACTCCATCCGTTTCTAAATATATATCGTTTTAGAATTTTTTTTCCATTACTAAATATATGTCGTTTTACATTTTCTAGATAATTTTTAGTGAAATTTTCAATTTTATCTTTATTTAAAAAATAATAAAAATGTGATTTAATAAAGATATATATGATTTTTTAGATTTGTTAAAAATTATGATGAAATCTAAAACGATAAATATTTTGAAACGGAGAGAGGGAGTATAAATTATGTGTCAAACAAGGATATATAGAAAAACTGTATTAATGTCTATATAAATTAATTAGTAAACTACTAATCAAAATGCCACCTTTTTCGAATTAATTTGACGTGACAACGCGACATAAACGACTTTATTGTGATAGTTCCATTTGTGGACCTTCTTTGTACATAACATGTACGTAGGCACATACAAAATCACACTTTTTTCCTTTCTCTGCTCTTTTTATATTTCAATAGAAAGAGAATATCTACTGTTATAAAAAGGGTAGGTTTCTATGCTTTGTTACGTTTTTACTGCTCCGTTGCATTTATTTTTTCGTAATCTATAACAGTAAAAATACTTAAATCATTATATCACTTTCATTTGACCCTTTTTCAATGGCTTTTACGACAAGCGTACAAGCGATGCCTTTGCGAATGAATTGGCCAGAAGACAAATTTTCTGACACGTTTTTTTTTCCCTTTCATTTGGTGACGGACTTAATGGAGTTGACTCAAAACTCATATATGATTTGCAATATCTTAGATTTAGCGTTAGGATAGATTTGGTAGGTGAGAAATTAATAACATTGGAGTTGAAAAAGGGCCATTTACTGTCAGATTCATTTTCTGACCCACCAGTAAAAAATAATGACCTGCGGAAAAGAACCCTAATTTGCTACAACAAATGATTGTCAAATTTAGTGTTTTGAACATATATATATATAGAGAGAGAGAGAGATCGAGAGAACGGATTATATATGTCCAGGTGCAGCTGAAACTAAACTTATATCTAAACCTCTAATTATATAATATAATGAATGTAGGGTTAGTGAATTACACGTGCCCAAACACACTGTTTTTTTCTTGACAAAGAACTTTGAACATTTATATATGCGTTTGAATTTAATATCTTGATAGAAGAAAAGGAGATTGATAGTCCGATTATGATGTTTATATATAACAAAATCGATTAGTTTCTTTACTCTGTGAGGTTTCATATATTAAGAATTTTTTAAAACATCAGTCTCAAGCCATTAATTCTCGATCGTTACGTTAAATAACATTTAGGAGATTATAATTACATAAACAAGGAGAGCGCCGCGTTGAATGTGTGTGTGTATATATATTCAAACACGTGCATGCATATGTGTGTGTATGTTTTTTCTGGTATGGATATTAATATAACTAGCTAGCAAAATAAATAGGAGGCTAACGTCTAACCGTTGAAAGGAAATTTGGCATCGCGTGATATAAATTGCATGGGGACATTGCCTCACACGCGTCTACGTACACTGCCTACACACGACTTCTTTTAGGGTTTCCGTATTCAATAATGGTACTTCTGTTCCTTTACATAATTATGACCTTTGAATATATATATATATTAATATATATATATATATAGTGTGTGTGTGTGTGTGTATATATCCTAATACATGTATTAAAAAGACACCATGTCTTACGATTTCTTACCTTATCTTTCATCTGAATCCTGTCATATATACACACATATATATCTATCAATTTTATAAAACATTGTATAATAATTTGTTCAGATTTTTTTAATCTCTTGTAACTTTTGGCTATGAGAATATCAGTGTAGTTCTCAATTTGAATTTTTCTATGTAATGAAGAATTTGGCTTACATAAATATTGAAGGTAGTTTCCTCATGATCAAA